ATGAACAGCTTCATACAATCCCATACGTTCTATTTTGACACATAGTTACCGCCTAGCGTTTTCGCGTCCGTGCGAACGCTCGCTAAATCTTGATTGAGACGCCCGCTGAGCTCGGTTATTGCCAAGATAGTGCTAAATTTTACACAGCTTTGAAAGAGCGCTTTTTAATTTATTACACAAAAGAAATATAATATGTTGTTTCGTTTTTCCTTTTCTTGTCTTGATCATTAGAAGTAAATTAAACTTTAATAAAAAGTAAACTACATTTGAAAGCTACCGACTGTATGAATTGAAACATCAACATTAATAACTATATGGAACACTAGCTTTCGCCCGCGACTCCTTTCGCGTGGAATTAAAAACAAACAAAACTGATAAGTCTATGTGTTCTTCCAGACTATCCTTTACATCTATACCAAATTTCATCGAAATCCGTTCAGCCGTTTAGGCTATAAACTCTAACAAACATCCATCCATCCAAACTTTCGCATTTATTATAATATTAGTATGATTCAATTTGTAGTTAATATTTTGTCGTAACGATAGTTTGTAAAAACATCGTTAAGTATGAATAAGTCGTAAAACACCATCGTTATAATAGTTCTTACAACGTTTAGGAAAAAACAATGTTTTTAAGCGGTACTCAGCAAATAAAATCCGCACACTGAGTTTCTGAATGCAATGTAAAAGTGCTGTTAACTTTTCATCGGGGTACTTAATGAAATGGAGACATTTTGCATGCGAATTAAAAAGTTTGGTGTAAGCGGTTCGTTAAGGTAATTAATATGTTTAAATAGGCATTACTGCTTTCCATTTTCAATTCACATTAATGCCTAATTTATCGCAATTAATCGGTATTTCAGTTTTTTTATTAAATTGAATAAAAAATGTAAATCTATACTAATATTATAAAAAGAAAAGATTTGTATTTTTGTATGTAATGGACCAACACAAAAACTACTCCAAAAATTCTTTCATCATTAAAAAGCTACGTTATCACTGAGTAAAATAAGCTACATTTTTGTAATTTCAAGTAGACGAAATCGCGAGTTACAGCTAGTGTTTAACATTTCAGATGGTTTGTGGAAGTGTGAAATACATTTCATTAATTCGAATAACTTGTAAGAAGTAAAGATAATTATGAAAATTAATTTCCAGTTATTTTTCCTCTATGAAAAACAGACGTTTGTTATTATTCTTGTCAGTAGGCGTTCGTTCGTCTTTTTGTATAAAATTTTATTTTCTGGAGCTATCGTAGTGTAACTACTATGCCATATAACATCACTTTGAATCTCGTAGTTGATGCTGGCATGAAAATAATAAACAATGAAAATAAGAAAAAAATCTGGGAAGAAAATGGCGGAATTGCTATTTCCTAAATTAAGTTCACAAGTGCATAAGGAACAAAAACATTAGACGCTAGCAAACAGTTAAAAAAATAAGTCAGGCCGAAGTGGTTTTTACTTGCGTAATGATGAAAAAAGCTAACAAAAAAATGTTTTGCATTTTTATCATATTGTATTTTGCAGTTTTAAAAATAGTGCGGTCTGAAAGCGTTTATAATTTATGTTCTTTTAACACTTGTGTTGTTTATTTTTATAAATTGTCGGTTCTTTTGTTTGTGATTGTAATGTAAGTTTCGCACCACATTTTGAATTTAACGAGCTTTCCCACTCGTATCTTAATTGTTGTTCAAACTCTCGGAAGTCTGGGAGCGAGTTTCAATACAGACAACGGTTACGTTTTCTTCGCTAATAAAACATTAATACCAAGAAATATCACTGTTCTGAGTATTATATCAGATGAGTTTAAATGGATTTTATAAATTGATGATTCTTTATAATTTAATTAATAAGACTAAATTGTTGCAAAACTAGTGAAAAAGTACTCTACAGAAAATTGAACAATAAACAAATGAATGATCTTTAGAATATAGAGAAGCAAAAGGCTTGATTGTGTCGATGTGTCAATTTTCCGCGCTTGGCCTGAATTGAACTCTGCACTTTGTTTATTTTCACCATATTCTGGGCACTATCGTGTATAATATTTTACCATAGTAATTACTAAAAAAACTTTCAATTAAATTTAGCCACAATCATGGAACGGAAACGATATAAGAAACTATAACTATTAATTTTCATGACTATAATAATATAATTGTCAATTCTAAGATAATAATTAGAGCAAATACCCAGAGACAGGAATGTTCAAAGTATGGCCAACGACGTCTGATTAAATAGCTCGCAGATATCCTTTGTTTGAGTTGAGGTATTTTTCTTCAGCACAGCGTTCAAGTGCCGCACCGCCAGACTAAACAGTCGCGGCGACGTATACCAGAGATTTGTTAAATTATTCACGATTCTTCCTTGATTTAATAAAGCTTGTTTTAACTTAAAAATTCTGGAACTACGACAAATGTTGTTTAAGGTCATGTACACCTCTCTTTGTTTGGCAAATGTTGGTCAATATGTTTTTTATTAAAAAAAAACAGGCTTTTTGATTTTTTTTCCTTGTGTCAATAAATTTAACTTAATAGGAAGCTGAGTTGTCAGTTATTAATTTAAATTCGACGTTCAATTGTTTTTATCTCGCAGTAACGTTCGATTACGCGACAGGTGCCAGGTTAAGCTAACAATTATAACAATCGTGATTCGGGAGGCAATAGATAATGAAGGGGAACGATTCGCACGGAGCCGTAATAATCAAGCGATGAGTCCGACCGGCTTTTGTCAAGTTAATCTAATAAAAGCGAGCGGCCGCGGAGTGTGGAAGCATTCCTTTGTTTGAAGCGAGACCTTTATTTTATTACAGACCTCTCGGATGGCGGACTTCGTAGTTTTCTCTATTCCTAACTTACGGATTTTCTCTTATATTTCACAAAGATATTCCTGTTAATTTAACTTGTGATTGTTTTATGAGTCTTGTTTACGTTGAATTTAATAGTTAAGAATTTTATGGAATAGTATTTTTTAAGGTAACATTTGAATTCGTCGTAGTAATGTGTTCAAAAATTATTACAAATAGGGAAATATCAAATGCAATTTTGCTATAATAATACCGTAGTTTTATAACATTTAGTAGAGCCGTTTAAAAACTTTTATTGGAATAGTTTGATCCGTGCTCTGGTCGGTCATGCGTTCATTGCTAAATTGCTTTTTTTACGATCTTCTGTTTAGTTTTACAGCGAATAATTGCCTTAGATGTTGTTTTAAAAGGAATAATTTATTGTTTTCGGACAAAATATAATCGGTTTCATCTTACATGTTCAATGTTATGGGATTTTGATAATAAGTTATTTGTTTGAGTTAAATTGTTAGTAGTAATGATAATGCGATATGATGATAGAGAAAACTCACATGTTTCATATTTTATTGTTTTTGTTTCAGGATGTGAGCTCCTTCATCAGTCCATCAATGACGGTCATTCATATGACCACAGTGGACAATGCGGTCACAAGCTTCTAAAACCTTACCTAAGAAAGGGGCTACAGGAAAAACAACTGTAAAGGGTAACTCTGCAACTAAATCTATAAAGAAGAAAGTTGTAACGAAAAAAAAGGGCAAACCTTTACAAAAAACACTTTTGAAGAGTGCTAAGAAAAATACACAAAAAGAACAGAAAGATGAAGCTTCGTGTTCAACTAGTAGCGCAGCTCCTGCTGTTGAAGAAGCGAAAGATCATTCCGCTGAGGTGGCAAAGGATGAAACATCAAAAACTAGTCAACCTAGAAGTAGCTCTCCAACAAAGAAGCTCAAAAAAGAGCCAAAAGAAAAGAAAGACGCGCCTAAAAATACCCCAAGCAATGTAAATACCAAAGCTGTTGCTCTTAAAAAAACCGTTAGAGCACCTAAAAAAACAAATTTAGCAGTGGATCTTGATAATGACGATGATAACAATGATGATGTAAAGTACAAAATAAATGTAGATTCATTGAAAAAAAATCCAAATTCTTCTAAGACAAAACTTGTAAATAGAAAAGCACAAACTCCTAAAAAGAAAAGCAGTAACGTCACAAAACCTGAACTGCAAGACAAAGAAATCGCATTGGAAGAGGATAAAAACAAAGAAGACAAACAAAATGACAATAATGATAAGAAGACTTCTAATATTCCGAAAGCTGATAGTTCTGTTGATACTTCAAAAGAAAATAAAAATGACACAAAGGTTCAAGAAAGTGTTGAAAATAAGAAAAGTGTTGTTTATAATTCAGGCCCAAGTAGTAGTGCTTCCTATAGCACGTCTTTAAAGGGTCAAGCGGAAACGTCTAGATCTGAATCAGAACGTCCTCTTAAATTTTTTACTTCAAGTCGGTCTCCGAGAACACTTGATATAGATGTGAAGTGTTGTAAATATTCCAAAGGCAATGTAAGCGCATCTGAAAGATTCTTACCAATGAAATGTGAAACAAAAGTTGACGAACACAATAAAGAAAAAAGTACATCTAATAATCTTGTGTCACAGGGGTCTGAATTTGATGTTTATACTTTTACGGATAAAGTTGATTCACCTAAGAGCATCTTGTCGGATTATCGTAATACAAGTACCAAAAGCATAGGCAGAGTACGACCGATAGCTCGGGTTAAGGGAACAGTTGTTGATAAAAAAACTGACACCGAGAGAAAAAAATACTCTCCACATAGACCCATTGAGGAAGTAGTTCAACAACTAAAGGCAAGCAAACGGTCAGAGGATTCAACTTCTGGTGAAAAACAAGCTGGTGACCAAGTTTCTGACTTAGAATTTAATGCCAGTAATGTTGAAGAGAATGTAGAAGATATACCACAACCTATCGTGAGCAAATCATATAAAATGGTGGCACGTAAATCAAGCATAACAGGAAAACCATTTAGCCCTATCAAATTTTTTGATAACGAATCTTCCTCCTCAAAAAGTGAATCACCGTCTTCCCCTGTAAAAGTAAACACAAAACAAACTTTAATAAAGAAACAGCAAAAGAAAAGTATATCCGATAAGGAAATAGATAATTCAAAATTTTCTTTTAGTAAGAAATCTCTTAGTTATTCTTCATCAGAAGAAAGTGTAAATGAGTCCAACGATGACAATGAATCTAAAGAATCATCTGGATCTGATAGTCCTAAAGCTAAAAAGACGAAAATGAAAAAATTTAAACGAATCACAGATAGTCAGAAAAAACCCACGTCAAAAGAATTAAAAGAACTATCGAAAGATTCTCTTGTTGATCTCAAAGATGACTTTTCCGTATTGTGTAATGAAAAACCGAGTAAAAGGAGACTAAAGTTGTTGTCCATGTGGGCAGGTCCTAAAAAACATAGAATGGCTTCTTTGAATGCTATAGCAAAAGTTCACTGTCTATACGAAAATGAAAGCAGAACTCATATGGAATTAGGTTTAATGAAGACTGTAGACCGTCAACCAATGCCCAGTACATCGAAAACGTCGTATAATAAGAAGAAAGAAAAGCCCAAAGATGTAGAAAAGCAGGACAGCACCTCAGAATCTGAATACGAAGTCAGGAACGACAAAAAAGAAGAAAGTTCTGAAAGTTCCGATGATAATTTACCACAAATGACTTTACGTGGAGTTCCCGGGATTAGAAGTGCAGGTAAATATTGGGATCCTAAATCATCTACGTCTTCCAGTGAGGACAGCGAAATAGAACAAAAACCGAAGACCCCAGAAAAAAAGAAAACAAAGCTTCCAGTTACAAAACCCGATAATGAAAAGTCCAACAAGCTGAAAAAGACCACTGGTATTTCTGTTAAGAAGAAACGTAACAGAAACGAAGTTGTCATGGATTTAAAGGATATGGTAGTGCAAAAACGTATGGCTAGTTTAAATGCAACAGCAATTTTAGCAGCAAGCTATGAAAAACGATCTCCTAAATCTAGCAAAGATGAAACCACTTCTGATTCTTGTAGTGACGAATCATTTACTCATAAAACAAAAAACGTACTCGCAGCCGGCGTAAAGTCGGAGTTAAAAAATGAAGAGACTAAAAAAGACGTTGAAGACAGTGCAATAACTGACAGGAAACAGAAAGTTGAAGTAATTGTTAACCAAGAATCGGACGTTACAATAACTGGAGTATACTCAACTCATCATCATGAAGGTTTTTGCACTGTCTCCGGAATGCAATACCGTATTTCGTCAACAAGTCACACCCAGACTACAGCGACGGCTAACTGCGAGAAGGTAAATATGTTTTTTTTTAGTTTTTTTAAATTACTTCTTAGAAAAAGATGTTGATTTCCATAAAAGGATTATCTTTCCGGATTAGAAAATTTATCTTGAGGCGTTTCGAACCTCATTAATGCCCGGTAATAAAGTAAGTTCTATGTAAACACGCCTCGGGTCTTCATCCTCACATTACCCTTCATCGCTTATAACTGCGAAATCATTTCTATGAAAAATAAACCTTTTGCTCATATATTAAACGATGAATTTTGAACACGAATTCTATCGAGCCGTAAACAATTTACGAAGAGGGGAGTTTCGCTGTAACTCTTGACGGAGATTATATTGTCTAAACCGTTAAACCTTATTAACGTAATGTTAAACACAAGCTTGATGAGCGAATTCATGCATTTTATAATACTTAAAACGCTTGAATTAATACTGTGTTTTATTTTATCACTGAAACAGAAGTTACATGAATTGTAAATATAATATACAATGTTTGCGAGTACTTCGAGTAAAGTACAAGGGTTTGTTATAGACGTATGCATTTTCAACTTTATTTATGTTTATAGGAGGGATGCCCCCGCGAGGAAGGGTCCCGTTACACGCCTTTATCTGCACTATCGTCTATGCAGCCGCCGGCAGAACATCCGCACACACATCCACATCCTGGTAAGTAATTTTATACAAGTGTATAATTGTTCAAATAAACTAATTAATGCTTGATCACACTCTAGTTTATTATTACTTTTCTCTTAATGGTTAACATGATAATTTACATAGGTATAAAACTTTATGAATCTTTAATCGCGTTAAACTGTAAAACTACCTAAGTGATTTAAAAAATAAATAATTAAAAAACCCATTTCTTTTGTGAGGTTTTATAGTCTATTTTAGAATACGCCTTCAACCTTTCGAAAAATGCTAAGCTAAAATGCATGTGTAAGTTTGTTGTGAGTGAAACTGTGTGGTTAGTTTTGCTATGTAGTGTATAGTTTACGTAAGTAACTTCCAAATAGCAAAAATGTAAAGATAATATTATAGAAAGCTTTTTCGTGTCGGTGTTTATTGTGTAAATAATAAACGCCCGTTTAGCCTCGAACATAAAATGTAAGACACTTTCACTCGAATCTTTTCCGCAAGCTCGATGCTTCAGTGTACTTAGCAGATCCTAAAACATCGTATAGTTTGTTTGTTGGCGTGCTGCCAAATGTGCAGATGTCAATGCGATGTCGGCCTAGAGAGGTGCTTTCTTATTATACAAAGCATCTATTAACATTGTGTATTCCAGTAGTCAGTGATAATTTGTTTATTTTCGTATCATTATATTTCGTCGCTCGTTTACTACGAGTATCTGATATTGTTGTTTCTGAATCACAGCTTTTGTCTAGTTAGTTTGAAAGATATTTGCCTTTATTTGAGGTTAAAGTGGCTTCAGTAATAATTTGAAAGTATAGTATCAATATCATTATTTTAAAACTTTCAAGTTTTCAAGCATTAATTTATTCTTGTTATAACGATTGCGAAAATAATAAGGGTTTACGATTATCTTCGCAAACTTGCAATTTGTCTAAAGAAATATTTGAATCCTTGGATTCTCTAACATTTGCTTTCCAATTACGCGAGCACATATCTCGTAAGTTACCTACAAATTGCTGCAGACTTTATAACGGTCTGAAGAAAAGTTTCTACAGACATGCAGTATTGGTCGCGCCAACTACGGATATATTTGTGGTACAAGTTAAAGAATTAATACATTATTTATAATTTTCAAATACAAAATATTCACAAATATTATTATAATATAATTATTTCGAATAATCCAAATTAATTTCGCGCTTGCAAATAAACTTTATTTATTAAAGTTTGTACAATTTCTACAGTTTTCTTAAATGTATTGATCAATTACTGCTTCTTGTTCAGAACAAAATGGATTCATTTAACTTTTTAATAATTACTTTCAACTACACCTGGTCTATCTAATTAAACTATTAAACTTTTTTATATTATACTAAGGTGACAAAGGCGACCGCTGCCCATAGACATCTTTTATAGTATTTGCAGATCCGTTTCTTACCGTTAACAGAGAAGAACACAGAGAGTGGATATTTCCCTTAACTATGCGTCCTATCTTCCTACATGCTTACGGTTTAAATATGTGACCAATATTAGTAACATTTCGCCGTCCCCTATAACTGGGACGTTATGACGCCAGTCGATGGCAGAGTTCCAACAACGTCTATTCTGCAGATATTAAAGAGCGGCCACTTATCTAAGCAGCCGTCCACTAGCCAGACTTCAAATCAGCACTATCGCTACTATTTGATATTCAATTTAGTTTGGCGTTAGCACATATTTAATTGAATATCAGGTACAGAAACTTTACACCTGTCCTTAAAAAATTGCGTACCAAAGTAAATGTAATTAATGATTACGGCAATAGTTAGTTATAAGAGAAGTATGCTGGATATAATTTTACGGCATGTGGCTGACCGTAAAAAAGAAGCTTGAACATTCAACAAGCCTATATTAGTCGGATAGCGTCTGGAAGATAATAATGACAGATAGTATACATTTATGTCGAGCTTAACAAGTACATATTAAAAACAAGATAAATACAAATAAAAATATATTCAAACGTTTGTAGAAATATGTAAGTTGAAATAAAATTCGAAATGAAACGGTTTTCTCCGACGCGTAATAACGGCATCGCATTTAATTCCGACGGCCTAGCGCTAGCGGAATCACATTTAAATAATGCGCGTTCATTAGCGTCTAAGCAGTGTAACCTATTTGTTATCTCGCTGCAGAAAAAAAAAACACCAACGTCGTTCCTTCGCACAAACAAGTTTATACAAAGAGGCAGAATGACGGGAAAATGAAAATGCGGCGAACACTGAAGTTGTTTGAGTTAATCATGAAAGCCTGGCGCTAAGCGACTCGGCAGCTCTCGCTTTGTTTTGTTTGCTCAAGGGATAAATGTATGACAACACCGAGATATGTTTAAAATGTAAGTAAGCTCGTTCCGAATGAATATGAATATCACGGTTAGACTAGATTTCAATATTTACGAGTATCTCATTTAATTTAAACCTACAACCCGTTCGTGACATTTGTTACATTTTAGTTTCATTGTTTTTAGCTTTTAATCTATTTTACATAAATCTTTATTATGTCGTTAATATAATTTGGTTTGTTTACTTTACAAAAATTAAAATAATGACGACCGGCGATCGAATGTGATTTGATGTAAAAAGTGAGAATTATTTGATCGGCTTGTACCAGTGTAATGGAAAGCGAGCTTAAATACTGCTATCAGATTGTAGGCTGAACTCATTCAAATTAATAAAAAATGAAATTTCGTGTTTAACAGTGTATTCAAAATAACGTAGTACATTTTCAATTACATTAAATTTACATTATTCACATTCTGGTAAAGTACACGCTCTACAGAACACGTTCGGACGTGGATTGTTTGCGACGTGTTTTATTTGTACATTTTGGTTTTCGAAACCATATCAAACAAAGAGTTGCTATGAGTTAGTAGACAATATTAATTAAGTAATAAACTTAAATTATTATCTTTTTAACAACTAGCTGTTGCTCCCGACTTTGTCCGCGTGGAATAAAAAATAAAAAACATAGCCTGAGTAACAACTCAGTCGGGCCCAGTAGTTTTTGAGTTATACCAAAATACAAATCTTTTCTCTTTATAATATTAGCATAGACTAACTTTGTATTGCAATATATAATGTTTGTTATGGCAACATTGGATGATATTTAGTTTAATTTACCTATAAGTTCGCCAAATGTCAAGTTTTTCTTAACCCGAAACTCCGTTTTACAGCTAAAAGCAGCTCCATCTTGTGACATAGACTTCACTGAAAGTTATTTTAATGCAGCGACAATATAAAACAAAGGCGAGTAATGCGGTTAGTTTATCAAAGGCCAGTCTATTTTCCATGGCCTTGTAAGAAGAGCAATTTAAATTTTAAGTTTCTTAACAGTTGTTTCGCCGTAGTATCTTCGTTATAATAATGCAAATTACGCGCCTCTTGAAGCAAAGCTCGCGTAAGCCTCTCGTCTCCAGCAGACGTCATTATAATTAGGTATATGTCACCGTACAAATGTGAACATCGTTACATTACAATCATACCAAAATTATGTCAAAGTCAATACTTCAATAAATATGAATTGACATTTTGTCATCTATATTGTTTTTAAGGCACAGTGCAAAATTTCTATTAGTTTTTGATTTAATAAAATAGACTTTGTAGCTATGCAACTAAAGTGTATATTTCCATAATTACATAAAATGCATTTCTGCCACTTTACAATCAGATAGGATTTTGATATTCAGATGACGGGGATTTCTCTAATCTACTTGACGCCACTTGCTAAGTAACAGTAGAACATTTACAGTTAAGTTAGAAGTAAGTTTTCAAGTCTTGGAGCGTTAATGTAATGCACAAGAGTAGTAAACATAAGTTTCAACCTCACTGCTTTAGTTTGCCGTTTTATTTAAATGTTGTTGCGAAGTTTATCACACCTTACGGAACAAAAATTTTGAAATACACTGTATTGTAGAATAAGAATTAGCGTGGGTTTAATATTAAATTTAGAAATGGAAAATATTCTATATGAATGAATAAACGATTTTAATACCACTTAATTCATCATAGTAATTCATATCTAAGTTAAAGTTATTTTCCTGATCACTTAATTGTATCCTAAAAATGTGCAAAGTCTTCAATAGTTGTATAGTTTCCGTTGTCGTCAGTTTTTTGCCCTTTTTTATGTGACTGCGTATATCAGTGTCATGATATCTTAAATAGATGATTATCTTAATGATATTAGAATCGCATTACTCATAGAGGTGTGGAGGTACAGGAGTTATTAATTAATAAAATTTAAAAAGCTATAAAAAGTAAATCCGATGTGTTATTTTCAGTACCAGAGCTGGGCGGGCTGACTCGCCGCGCCGGCTGTTCCAGTGCGTTTTCCGCGCCTTCACCCTCCGCTCACCATGATCCAGGTTAGTTGTTTATATAATGTATGTAACTTGATATGTATGAAACGCACTGACTCAAATTCGACGAATCATTAAAATATTCCACGCAAATAATGAGCTAGCCGTTGAGTTCTAGGAACCGCCCCTACTATTACTATAAAAAATTGACTGAAATCGCACTAAAAGAAAAAAGTAAAGTCTGCAAGAATTAAGTGTATTGTGTTAAAATACTGCGTATACATGCCGGTAAATCGCGAGATCGTAAGAGACGAGACTTATAGGAAACAAGCTTTGTCCCGCCTAGCCAGTAGCGTTTCCACGTGTCAATAACTTGCATGCAAGTGTGCAACTTACTGGGATTTGAATGGGAATTCAGGACGGGAGTCCTAATTACCTTTTGTACTCCTCATTCCAGATTTATATGTATGAAATAATACATTTCACTTTTCTCTTAATTATACAATTGGTTTTATTTACATGAATGCATTTAAAATGATTCTATTGTGACGTGTCAAAAAGCAACATTCACTTCAACAAGTTCCAACTGTATTTCGTAAACGCTTTGCAGGCTTTGAAACTTTTCGACTGACTGAAAACTGTTTTAATTGTTACGGGTGTATGCAATTTGTGACGAGCTTTATTTATCCTATTGTTACCTGGATTTATTCGTCTATTGAATCGATAACAAAAATTTCGTTTTTGTTAACACAGACAGGAAGAATTTGCTTCCTTAATCATCTATAATCTAATATTATAATTTTGTATTTTTGTATGTATTGAAATAACTCAAAAACTACTGGGATGATTTTAAAAACTCTTTCATCTTTAGAAAGGCCATTTTTCTGTAAGTAACATAGGCTATGTTTTTTATTGTTATTTTAATTTCACGCGGGCGAATTCGCGAGCAACAGCTATATTTAATATGAGTATAGTTACAAAAGTGATGTTTTTAAATCTCATTAAAACTTGAAACAACAAAGTAAAGTAAATTAAAATTAGTAAAAACGTAAATATTGTTATTCATCATCGTCAAGTTATAAGCTCACTGCTGGACATGGGTTTTTCCCATCCCAAAAATCCCATATGCAATTTAAATACAAGCATAGAATTAAAAAGAACATCGGTTAAAATTTTAAAATACTAACAAAATATATTACTCTGGTTTAACTTGCGTGTACTTAAAGTAATATGTGGTCCAATTTATCTTCATGTCAACTAATCTCTGTCGTTTTCTAGTGGCCGGAAACTATTTGTTAGCAGTAAGACAACATAGTCTTTAAGTCGTATTTTAGAAGGTTTATTTTATGGGATTATTCACTTAATGGGTTAAATGATTTAGGCTATAATACTTTTCTAATTACCTACTACAACTTCTTCTATAAGAGAATTCTGTAACTTTTATAAGAGAATATAAACCGGAGAAGTACTTAATAAGAATCGCAAAATCTATACTAATTTTTTTATCTTTGATTTATGTTTACAAGCGCAATACGAAACACGACAAATTTAATTAGGGAACAACAAAAAAGGCTATATTTATTTTTCTGTAAATCAAAGTAAGTATAGAATTTATTTTAATATGCGGTGTAAGTTTACAAGATCTTTGTTGTTTAATTGTTGCGATTTGTTAGTTACAGGTGGTTTTTAGGACTCTACTAATTTACATCGTAAATTGTACCCGGGTACATTCCCTGTTTGCATTAATTTGCAAGGTTAAGAACGTACATATTACTACAGCTTTAAATAACTGGAAAGCGAGATGCACCGTCCGCTACTTTATACAGAAGCCAGAATTCTTTCGCACCGCGGTCTCTCGCTTAAGTAATTAATTCCTTTGCCTCGCTGTTTGAATAAATCTTAGTCAACTCAACATAATAAATGTTGTTCTTCAACTTTTTAAATTTTAAAAACGTTGAAATCGTTTGACGATATTCAACTTAATTCTATTTTATTCGAAGAACAAAGTTTAAGTTTCTCGAGATAGTAAAATTTATGATTTGTTCTCTGCTTTTTGAATAACCTTTATGCTACTCAGATTTACTACGTTGCTTTATATTTAAGTAACAAATACTTCTTGCTGAAAAGCAAGAACTATTTACAGTATAGTTTTGTAAGTTTAATTCCTGTTTATTCTAACATTTTTACCTTTACCTTTAAATTTATTATCTATACTATTATAATAAAGCGTAAACACACACTTCTTTGTTGCCTAAGATGTCAGCAATTACAGTACATTTTGGAATAATCCTTTTTTTTAATAAAAAGCCCTACACTTACGTCATGCATTAGGCTATATATTTTTACGCAATTAAACTTAGGAGGTAAATATTTTCGATAGAAACCCTAATGTGGGAAAGAAACAATAAGTTGCTGCCAATATTAATAAAGAAAGATTGCTATGGTTTGTCATGTCATGTCATTTGACATTTGCTATTGACAAATGTAAACAATAAAACAAAATTTTCATAATTTCATGCGGATGAAGCCGCACGGGAACAGCTAGTTGTTAATACATTTTGGCAGTATTAATCCATGGTCAAGTTGGTCTATAACTTTGTAAGTGTTACTTAGTCATTCACAGTAAACAAGTTCTTAACAGAACACAAGACGGAACAAGTTACCGTATGGAAAACTTTAAAACTGGGTCTTTACTGCTAAAGGCGAGAAGTTGTTTGGTCTCGGACCGACTATGAATTAACTGTGTTACCTTCCAGTGGGAGTTAGCTCGCGACTTTAGCCGATTCAAGTCACATGTTCAAAGACAACTTTTGTAAAGGACTCAATTTGCTACGTTTATTTCGATCATTGCGATCTATTTTTTGCCTTCATTTGGGATATTATCTTTACGTGTTGTCCTTTTTACGTTCTTAAACAATTTTATAAAGTCTTCTGAAAGATTGTATCTTAATAAGAAAACTTTGATGTACATAGTTTTAAATACTCTTGATAGTTTTCTTATTGGTATAAAAGATTTCATATATAAATATTTCTGTGTAATGTTCAATGGAGCACAATGTTTTCAGATGTGGCAGAATTTTGCGTTATATTTATAACAAGTCGTTCAATAAATAAATCAGTTTAAAGCTCCGAATATCAGATTTAGGTGTGTCGAAGTTGAATGTTATTTCTCGTTGAAATGTTATTTATTTTCGAACAGCACGTCCTGTGACATATTCATTCGGCTGCGGTCTCGTGAATATTTGATATTGAGTAAGCGACGCTTGACTGCAGAACTGTTCATATGAAGCTTTTTAACCCTTTTCTTGGTAGTGTAACTGTAGAGATACATAATTTTTTTTTCTAAACATTTTGGGTCATCAAGGTTAAGTGCTATGAATATTATTTTGATATTCGAAAAATAAAATTCTGCCAAGTTAAGGGTTAAGGCAATTTAAACGGTATTGTGTGAATCGTAAATGCGTTATTGTCATCATTACCTATACAATCTATAAGCATTTATGTATTTAAAATTAATATGCAACTACCTTAATAGATAGTGGTATAATCAAATAATTTCTAAAATCGAAACAAATCTTACTTCTTACTAATATTATAAATGTGAAAGTTTAGATGCATGGTTTGATATTTGTTAAAGTTTGTAGCCTAAACGGCTAAACGGATTCCGATGAAATTTGGTGTAGATGTAGAGGATAGTCTGGAAGAATATATAGGCTGCTCACTTTTGTTTTTTTCTAATTACACGCGAACGGAGTCACGGACGAAAGCCAGTGAATATATAATTTTCAAATATCTAATTAAGTTAATTATCCCATTCTTTTTAAATCACATTAATCACGGAGTCATGGGCGAAAGCTAGTCATTTTAATAAATGTCATATTTTAATTATAGATATTCTTGAACTTGTTAGAAAAACATGTTTAAGGCACAAGCTGACAAAAATCTTTACTGGTTTCCTGAGAACCGTAAATTTAATCAAAAACTGTTCCGTGGTTTTTCGAAAGATATTGAATAGATTTTTAGAAGTTTTCTTCAAATCACATATGTATGTTACATACGGATTGGTTTCAATATCCATTAGTATATTAAATCAACTTTCCGAGCAGTTTGCTAGTTCACTCACGACACTTTCGAGTATTGAATCAATCGCGTTTGAGTCGATTTGTGCCAGAAGTGAAATTCAGAGAACTGAGATCAAACATTTCATTTATATCTCCAAATGACTAAACTCATTAATTTAATGGGTATTTTCCGATCCATTTAATTAGAACCTTTAATCAGAGTTAATCATTTAGTAATTCTATAATACCGGGAAGTAATTAACCCCTTGTTAATTTGTAAATCAACAATTTCGTCGTCCTTCGTCGTTGTTTATCCGTTTGAATGAAGGAAATTAAATATTTCCTTGGTAAGAAATTTCTATGGAATATTTTATGTTAATGTTAAAGTAACTATTTCAAAAGACTATTTATACTGTGCAATCGGTTTTTGTGTCGTTTTAATTCTGGTAGCAAGTTAATCGACTGCGAATAAAGTGACGACGGTCGAAGCTTCTTCCGCACGGAAACAGTGTAGTTTTCGATACGGTTTATAGAAATTGTTTTAGTCTGGAACACGCCTAATATTGTTTTATTACGGTGACTATTTTAATTTCGAACCATTGTCACTCTATTAAAAAAGTAAAACTAATATGATTTTTTTATATTATAAGGTGGCAAACATGCAAGCGGATTTCGCTGAAATTTGTTATGAATGCACAGGATAGCCTGGAAGTACACATAGGCTACTTACTTTTTTTTAAATCCCCACGAACGGAGACGCTGCGAAAGCTAGTGAATATAAAATTGTCAAATATCTAATTAAAATAATTATGTCTAATCTTTTTAAATAACATTCATCAAGTCCGATATAACAGCTGTAATCTTACTGATTACTGATGTTTGTTAGAGTTTGTAGCCTAAACGGCTAAAGGGATCGCGATGAAATTTGGCATAGATATTCAGAAGAATACATAGGCTACTTGCTTTTGTTTCTATTTCCGCGCGTACGGAGTCGCGGGTGAAAGC